GTCTGATCAGAAGACTTATGTTAAAGTCGTCCAGAATAAGCAAGGTTTGACCAGAAAACTCGAAAAATATTCTGGACGACTTTGATTATCCTGGACGACTTTAATCTAAGTCGTCTGAGCGGTCGACTTTTAATTAAGTCGTCTGGAGAAGTTAAAAATTTAAGTTTTATTTTTGAATTGCAAAACTAACCTGAGACGATTAAGTCGTCTAGATTTAATAAAATATTGAAATTTTAACTTTCCCAGGGACGACTTAATTTTAAGTCGTCCAGAAAAAGTCAAATATCTGACACAATTCGGTCAAAAGCAAAAGTAGACCGTTTTATCTAGACGACTTATAATTAAGTCGTCTGATGTTTTTTTTTTAACAAACAAAGCTGGACGACTTAGAAGTAAGTCGTCCGTTTGACCAGAAGACTTATCCGTAAGTCTTCTACATCCAGAAGACTTACGGGTAAGTCTTCTACGCGAAGAGATCTGGAAAAAAATTCAATTTCAAACCTTAAACTAGGTGAGATGACTTCCTTTGCACACATAGTCTTCTCCAACCACCCAGAACATCGAACGAAAGTAACCCACCAACAATTGTATGCTTAAATGGCTCTATCAACCATAAAACATTTGCTAGCAAAAGCTTGGGTTTTTGGCATGAATATGGAGACAAAGTGAAGGAGATGTTGTTTTTAGTTCATAACAATTGAGAAAGAGAGTATGAGTATCGATTTTAAGTGCATTAAAAACTTCAAACCTTGGTTGTACAAGGTTGTTGGGAGTATTCATGGCAATGGCAATGTTGTAAATACTTGAAGATGATGAGGTTGAGAGAGTAAAAATGTCATTTTCGAAAAAAAGTAAAAAAAAAAAAATTAATGGCATTTTCGTAAATAAAATGAACATATGGGGTGGATAGGACAAAAACAAGATGAGTTAAAAAAAGAAGTTAGTTTTGTGTTTGACCATGAGTTTTGAGTCAAATTTGCAAAAAGCCCTATCATTAAATATGATTTAAATTTAAAAAATTTCTCACACACAGCTAGTTCTTATTATACGAATCAAACACAAAGCATGTCGAAATTTATAGTACCGATTGTTGGTTTATCAAATTACATAGCCAAGTATCGGTTTGGTTTCCGTTTTCTAAACCCGCTCCACTTGAATCTCACGGATGGCCAGATTATCAAGCCTCTTCGGCCGCTTGTAGTTCTTCAACAAGAGAGAGCAACAAACAACACTAACAGATGAAGCAGCCATTGCAGCACCTGCAATCCATGGAGGTAACCTAAACCTGGTAGATGGGAAAAGCACCCCTGCAGCAATAGGTATACCCATGACGTTATACCCGAGAGCCCATACGTAGTTGAGACGGATCCTTGAGAACGTTTTCCTTGAAAGATCAATGGCTGTGATCACATCTTCCAAGTTGCTTTTCATCAGGACAATATCAGCTGCTTCTATGGCAATGTCGGTTCCTGCACCAATCGCCATTCCTACATCTGCTGCCACAAGAGCAGGCGAGTCATTAACTCCATCTCCAACCATTGCCACAATATGACCAGCAGCCTGCGAAATCATTTTTTCTATCAGTTTCAAAGATGTGAGCTTTTTTTATAATTACTGTGGAGCTACATCTAAGATTACCTGTAGTTCCTTGACCTTCTCTGCCTTTTGCTCGGGTTTAGCTTCTGCGATAACAGAGTCAATACCGACTTCTCTAGCAATGGAATTTGCAGTTCCCCAGTTGTCACCAGTTACCATGATGCTTTTGATATTCATGGATTTTAGAATGGAGATGGCTTCTCGAGCACTCGGTTTTACAGGATCTGAAACAGCCAGAACTCCAGTTAACTCATTGTCAATAGACACTAGAATTCCGGTTTGTGCCATCTCTTCAGCTTCTGCTAGCAACTCCTCAGCATCAGCCGGAATAGCGATTTTATAACCAGACATAAGGTTTTTGTTTCCCACCATGATCTCTCTTCCATTAACGGTCGCTCTCACTCCATTTCCAGTGATAGACACAAAATCACGAGCTTCGGGCCACGCAGGGTTCTCTTCGTCATCTCTGAACTTCTTTGCATATTCAACAATGGCCTTTGCCAATGGATGCTCGCTGTTTACCTGATAGAGAGGTGAGATAGTGTCACCATAGAGATAACAGTTTTGATGCAAGCCACGAGTTTTTATATGTGTTAATAGGTACAAGAGATTACCTCAGTTGCAGCTACAAGTTCGTAGAATTCTCGAAGTACCATGTTTTTCAGGAGTTTAGTTTTAACAACAACGGGTTTCCCCATTGTGAGAGTTCCTGTTTTGTCGAATACTATGCAATTTACCTATACAGTCATTCAAACTCTTAGGTTTCATCATCTAAAAAATCAAGATGGTTAAAAAAACCTTTATTCACATATAATATAATAAGTTACAATGCAAGAGCTTAACAAATCAACACACACTAACCTTGTGTGCTCTCTCTAGAGCTTGACCACCCTTTATCAGAACACCTTGGGATGCACCAACCCCAGTGCCAACCATAACAGCGGTTGGAGTAGCTAACCCAAGAGCACATGGACAAGCTATGACCATGACAGAGATTCCAAACTGAAGAGCTAGTTCAAAGCTATCCATAGAAGAAGGGATCCAAGATTCAGGGTACCAATGCAGTTTCCCAGCTAAGAACCAGGAAAGCCAAGTTGAGAACGAGAGGAAAATTACCTGCAACATTATAAATGATTTGAGTTAAAAAAGTAATTTTGCTATTAAAAGACTAAACTTTCTGTTAGTTAAAATGTCAGTTTACTCACCAAAGGAACAAAGAACTTGGAAATTCGATCAGCCAACTTCTGCACTGGAGCTTTAGCTAGCTGCGCGGACTCAACGAGACGAACAATCTGTGCAAGAGCACTCTCTGAACCAACCCTTGTAACCTTAATATGTAGAACACCGTTCTCGTTCAAAGTGCCTCCTATTACTGTATCCCCCTTTCTCTTTGCCACCGGCCTGGCCTCTCCAGTAATCATACTTTCATTCACATGACTTTGTCCCCATATGACATAGCCATCCGAAGCTACTTTAGCACCAGGAACGATCTTGATCACGTCATTCTTCTGTATCAATCGACCATCAATCTCTTCTTCACCAGTCACATTCCCTTCCTCGTCCACAGTCAACAATATCGCAGTGTCTGGTGTCAAGTTCATAAGCTTTGCGATCGCTTGAGATGTCTTTCCTTTAGCCATAATCTCCAAATACTTTCCTAGTATTATAAAGGAAATGAGCATGGCACTAGTCTCAAAGAAATCTACGCCCTTGAAATCAGGAGATGTTGCAGCTCTCAAAACTGTGTATAACGAATAGAAATAGGCTGCATTTGTTCCCAGAGCAATCAGAACATCCATGTTAGCTGATCCACGGCGTAAAGCCTTGTAAGAGCCAACATAGAATCTCCAACCGATGATAAACTGGACAGGAGTAGCCAAAACCCACCTTATAGTCTCTCCAATGGTGAGCATATTAATGACCTTATACATCAGCAGATGTTTAATTCCAGGGATATACATAAAGACCATGGCTGTCAAAAACACAGGTACCGTAAATACCAAACTCCAGAGAAACGACTTATAGTACTGCTTGATTTCCTCTTGCTTCTGAGACTCTCTGCCCACCCCTCCCTCGGAAAAGACTCTTGCCTTGATGTGACCACTATGACCAAAGACAGTAGACTCTATCACACGAATGAAATTCCTTGGTCCCGTCACATCGGGTTTGTACAAGACAGATATCTTATCACTTCCATGGTTGAGCTCAACACTCTGAACCCCAGGAAGTGCTTCAAGCGATCTTTCAATCATCATCATTGATTCATCGGTAAACTCACCATCAATCTTCAAATCAATCTTGCTCACATCCTCACCCGTACTTATAAGTACGGCTTCAAATCCAGCATTTTCTATCACTTCCAGTAATTTATCATAGCTCAGAAGCGTGGGATCATAATGAACTTCAGCTTCTTCAATTGCTAAGGCAACATGAGCTCTTTGTACACCATTAACTGATTGCAGTACGCTTTCGATGGTTGAAGAACATGAGGTACAAGTCATACCGTTTATTCTTATCCTGCATACTTGTCTAGACCTCTCATTCGCCTCATTTTCAATCAGTGATGCTTCAAATCCAGCATCTTCAATAGTTTCACGAATTGTCTCCACCTACCAACACAATAATCAAGATGAATATATGAAAAACAGATAATGAAACCAATTATGCTAATTTCACACAGCAAATAAAACACGTTATCAAGTAGCTTCAGGGAGTGCATCATCCAAGAGATACGTAACTAATTGTCAAAGAGAAAAACATTTTGGTTCTTGCAAAGCAAAGCGTAATAAGGAGAGTGCAAGGGTGCTTGCAAAAGTAAACTAAGAACAGTTTTGAGTGGAAAAATATCGTTTGTGGCAAGGTCTATTGCTAATGTATTCACTCTTAAAAAGAAGTTTCATAAATGACAAAGAAGCGATGCTACGTCTTAGAGAGCTAAGAGTTCTAGGAAACAAAGGGATCTTCAAAAGTGAAAACAAGACAGAATCAAAGTGTTGAAAATGTTTCAAGTATATTATTTAGAAAATGTTTGATGGCTGTTTCTCATGGAACAAGTTTGAAATCATCTCAAATGGTTATCACTTCTCAGCAATAAAGAAACACCAGTGAGAGCCTAATACAAGAACCTGGTGGGGGCACAGTACATCATAAGTAATTTTTTGGAGGAATTCTAAAGACATACACTTGCATGCATCATGCAAAAATCTCTATAATATTATTTGAGAAGTCAGTTTCCTACGTGTCGCGCTCACGTTAACTCTCACAATGGTTTATTACATAGATACCCTTAATGAATTGTTAGATATATTATTATTATTTTTTATGTAATTTCTTTTTACCTTTTTCCAAATAACATATATAATAAAAAGGAAATATTTCTAAAATTTTAAAAACGAAATTATATGTATATAATATGACTTTCTTAAAAAGGAAAGTTCACAAAATATTAATACCTCCATTAATATATATTTTTAAATAGCATAAAACATATTTTCAAAATAATAAAAATATATATGTTCATGAAAATCCAAAAATTTATCAGTTACACTTTATTTCTAATATTTTTTAGAAATCAACATATAATTTGATAAGTATTATGAAAATATAATTTGATTTGACTTAACTAAAATAAAGAGTAAATAAATATTATGAAAATACATGTATATTTAAGCGCTACATAAAACTAATTTGATTTGACTTAACTAAAATAAAACGTAATAATACTTCAATTTTAATTTAAAAATATATTTAACTCAATATACTCACAAAAGGAATGACTCGACTAATCTAATTTATATCCAAAATTAAACATCTAACTACAATAACAATATATAATTTATTATAATAATATATTTAATTTTATACATATAAATTAGAGGTTGACACAAAGCATATTACAAAGAAAAAGAAAATATTAACCAATTACAATTTAATTCTTTTGTAGAATTTATATATATGCATGAGACTTCAAAATATTATCATTATATTCATTTATGTAATTTTGAATAAAACACTTCATTTTAAGCACAATATCTATTAAGTTATACATAATTTAACCATAGTATATTTACATATCTAAGAAAATAACCAACCGAAATGAAAATAAGAAAATTAATCAACTTTTTAATATATTTAGAATAAAAAATTTTATAGTTGAACTTGAAAAATAGATACTATCCAATATACCAAATTGATAACCAAACCGACTATTGATCCAAAAAATAATTAAATTGACAGTAATATATCCAAAGTTCTATGTATAATTAGAATAATATAATATTTATTAATATAAATTATATATATAAACTGATTCAAAACTAAAACTAAATATCAATCAATTATTATAAAATTTTACTTTTATGAATATTCAACCCGTGCATGAGCACGGGAAAATCACCTAGTTCATATATAAAAGAGGCACAGTGAAATGAGGCTGATGAATAAAGACTGAAACTGGTTTTAAACTCTGAAGGTATAATGGTGTAGATGCAGAGATTGGTATCTACAGTTGGAAGTTACATCATGGCTACAAGTAAGTTGTACAAGGAGTCTCAGAGGTAAAGATAAATATCTACATCTGTGATCCTTCTTTAAGGTAACAATTAAAGTAATTCAGAACCTATAAGATCTCTGATGTTGTTAGAGATAAAAGTATGAAATAAGAACCCTAAATTCCTGATCTCCACCACAATTATACAATTAAACCCCATGAAAAAAAAATCTCAATCAATAAATCTCACAAACAACTCGATCGATAACAATATAAGCAGAATCAGACATTCAATTTCAATCATAACCTTACATTGACGGAGCTAGGGTAAAACAGGATTTGAGCCCGATTGTTCAGAGCGTCGATAACAGCTTCGTGGATTCCAGGGAGACGCTTGATCTCTTTCTCGATAGATCCAGCGCATGCCGAGCATGTCATCCCCAAAACGCGGAATACCGCTCTCGAAACCGCCTCCTCGTCGTCGATCTTAAGCACCGCCGTCTCCGACGGTGATCCATCGCCACCGCGAGACCGGTTTAGGTGCTTCCGCAGCACGGGGTAACGCTCGGTGAATCTCTCTTTCCGTATGCATGTGAGAGATAATAGCTTCGTCGCCATGGAGAATTTGTGTTGTCGTCTCCAATTTTGATTCCTTTAGGTTTTGTGGGAAAATGTGTGACTTTTTTGAATGCTTTAGCTTTTTAAATATAAACGGAGAGGGAAATGGTTTCAACTGGTAAATGACAAAAGTATGTGGGCCGATTCTATAAATATTCAAACTATTGGGTCCTACCTGAAAATATTTTATTAATCTTTTTTTAAGTTTAGCCACCGCCATATATGAAAAGATCCGTTCAAAATCCTTTATGTACTTCAATTGTCTAACTTCTAAGCACATTTTACGTTGAACATATAGCTAAAATAATGGGTTGATTCGACTAATTACAGTGTCACTATTACGACATCCCATAATATGCGTTGAACAATAATACAATATTACTAATATTTTTAAAACTAAAGCCCAGTTACAAAAAAAATATTTTAAAAACTAAGTTTTTTTATAATATTTTATAACTAAATAAAATAAAAATATATAAAAGATATGTAAACTATTATAAACTATAGCAGATGGTGAAGTAGTTTTATTGTTCCAGTTTTATTTCTTTCTTTTTTTTGTTGTCCATTTGGACCATTTCTAATGAATATTACTTGTAGTTATCTTATTTTATTTTAAGAAGAAGGCAAGTAAAATTCCTGTAAAGTTAATTGTTGAAGTTTGGCGTATTATGTGACCGTTGCGTGCTATGAACTAAATGGATTATTAAAAGATGAATTAAAATGTGTCAACGGGAACTTTGGTAATACATATCCACTTTAAGGTAAGATGGAATCTATTTATACGTGTCTGAGCTTTGATGCCACTCAACCTCGTCACAAGAACAAACTAGTCGTACCAAACTGAAATTGACGGTTTTAAATACTTAAAGACTTTTATTAAGTTAAAACCATACTACGTTTATGGGTCTGTTCGTTTCCTCAGTCGACTGATCCATCTTGGTGAAGGTGAATATTGATATTCGTTTAGTGTAATTAATAGGTACATTCAGATGGATCAGTTAGGTGAGTTTCTAAAACTCAGTTGATTTTTTTTTAAAAAGCTGGCTGAGTCTTCACCATACATTTAGCTGCACCTGATTCAGTCAAAAAAGGTTAATGACGAAAATGACCCTGTCACACATAAACCTAAAACTAAGAATCTGACTCTCATCTCTCAAGTTCTCTCTCTCTCTTGGCGGCGTTCTCTCTCTCGCCCCCTCTCTCTCTCCGACTCTCTCTCCCTCCGGCTCTCTCCGGCGACCTCTCCCTCTCCCTCTCACTCAGGTTCTCTCTTCTCTCTCTCAGGTTCTCTCTCTCTCTCTCTCACTCCGGCGACCTCTCCCTCTCCCTCTCGCTCAGGTTCTCTCTTCTCTCTCTCAGGTTCTCTCTCACTCTCTCTCAGGTTCTCTCTCTCTCTCAAGTTCTCTCTCTATTTCTCAGGTTCTCTCTCTCTCTCTCTCTCTCTCAGATCTAAATTTTGTGGGTTTTCTGTTTTGTTTTGTTTGGATTCGTTTAGCTGTAATCAGGGCCGGCCCATACCCACGAGAGGCCCAACTCGAATTCAAAAAAATGAACCCTTGTCCCTTTATAAAAAAAAAAAAAAAATTTAGTTTAGACCTAAAAAGGTCTCAAAAATTTTTGGACCCTAAGCAAAGGCTTCTTTTACCTAAGCTTTGGGCCGGGCCTGACGGTAATATGCGGTAATATGGCTAGCGATGTTGCAGCTACTACAGAGTTTGAAGATGGGGAAGTGAAAGGGTTGAGATCTTTTCTAGCTGTGGAGAGCTTGAACGTGAGTGTTGCAGCTGGTCTGTTTCTTCATCACTTGATAGGAAATAAAGCAAGTGTTTGATTCCGTGGTGTGAGTTCTTCTAAACAATTGCATTTTTGCAGTAAACTTGCCTCTGTTTTGTACTTGATATTACTTTCTGGTCTCATTCTATGGTTATCTTACGAAAGTTTAGTTGTTACTTATTGATTTTCAGATCATTTCATGGTCTCTAGAAGCCACGTACCGAAGTTCTTATATTGTATTTTAAAATTTATGAAAATTTGTTGGTTAAGTTTATTAAAGTTATGAGAAACTATTATTGGAATTTATATTTTAATCGAATTTGTAGAGTAGTCATTGTTTATAATTTCACTGTCTTATTTTCATTAAAATAAATTTTGAATGTTAAAAATAATAATTTAAAAATTATTTTGTTGTAACTATAGCTTAGATGATATATTAAAATTAATAAGATGAATATATAAATAATAAACATGAATTAAGAATAAGATATCATTATATTAAAAGAGATATCCATTTTTGTCATTTTGTCATCAAATACATCTAGATGTAAATGCAAGTTAAAAAAAAAAAAAACGAACACAGCTACATCTGAATGCTTCATCTAGATGCATATTCTAAATGTACAAACGAACAACTCCCAGGTGGACTATCTGAATCAGTTGGATGTACCTTCCCGATGTACAAACGAACAGGGCCTAAGATATTCAACAAATGTATCCTTCTTGCTCTCTCCAAACTATTTATCTGAATGTGGAAGACAACGGAAGTACAATAAGTATAACATAAGATAGCATCATTCAGTTCCAAAATCTAGTTCACTACACATTCTTTAAACGTCTCATAGAATTTCCAAATATAAAAATCTTTTACAAACTCTATGTTTCTCTTCCTTTACACACACTTTAACACACCCAACAAAACTAATCAATGACAAAAGTAAACACGTAAGAACTCAAAACACACTCCTCAAGATCAGAGAAATAGAAAAACAAATTTTCAAATGTTTGTAAACGAGTCGACTGATTTACAGAGTCTGGAGTGTTTTGGTTTTCCAGTTAGCATCTCATCATTCAACACTCTTCTCACTCCCCACATCACGAGTCAAGCGCGAGCTCAGCCCAAGCCAAAGAAGATGACCTAAGCTCTGCGGATATGGACAAACTGATTCTACTCTCCAACGTCTCACATATCTCTTGCACTGATGGCTTGTTGTTATTGTTGCTGTTGTTGTTCGGATCCCTGTTCAAGCATTGCCTCGCCACCTCACATACGGTCTCAAGCTCTTCTTGGTTAAAATGCTTCAGCTCTGGATCCACCAAACTCGCCATTGCCTCTGGTGTTTCAAGAAACTCCTTTGCCTGCAACATATAACATCCTTAAAAAGTCAAACCCATTTGGTTAATAGTAACAAAGCTTGAAGCTATCTTCTTCTTATGTCTTACCCATTCAATCAAGAAACCTCTGTCTTTGCAGAAAGGAGGTCGTCCACTCACAATCTCCAGCAAAAGAACACCAAATGCATAGATATTACCAGATACATCGAGATATCTACTCTCCATTGCGTTAGGGAGCACGCATACCGCACCTTCACTATTAATATTTCTCAGATTCTTTTCTGATCTCGCAAGAATCGTCTTCCAGCATTCAAAATCAACCAGCTGCATCATAAGAATATAAGATTAACCTTAGCTAATTGTATTGTTCAGATAACAAGCTGGTCTCACTTCACTTTACCTTGGGAGTAAAGTCTTCTGTGAGATAGATCGCGTTTGAGCTCAGCTCAGAGATCGTAAATGGAGGATCAAGTTCCATATGAAGGTACTTGAGACCACGTGCGATGCCTATAACAATCTTCATCCGTCTTGCCCATGTTACTAAAGCCGCTTCCCCGTCTGCGTCAAAACATTTATCATTAACAATGTTATCTAGCCAAAATAGTACAGTATGATACAACAAAAAGTTCTGATTTTTACAGTGGAGGTGCTCGTATAGCGTTCCGTTTGATGCATACTCAAAAACAAGCATTCTTGCAAACGGTGAGGTCTCTTTGCAGTATCCCAGCAATTTTCCTGCGTTATCATGGTTCAGTCTAGCCAAATCTGCAACCTGAAACAGTGCAAAAATGCCTTAGAAATCCCAAAAACAAAAGCAGCTTTTCTTTACTTAACGTTCTATGTAAGATGAGTCAAGAAGCTACCTCTCTCTGGAAATAGAGCTCGAGGTATCCGGTCCAATCTTCTTCTTTGACGCAAAGAGAGATCACTGCAATCTCAGGTCCACCTTTCATTGTTCCTTTATAGACCTGACTATCAGCAGATAAACCAATGATGTTGCTAAAGTCTTCACACGCCACTTCAAGCTCTTGTCTTGTGAATCTCGAGACATCCTTCAGCATTTCAGAATCTGGAGTAAAAGGAAAAAGAAAAGCCATTTCTATTGAGTTGTTTGCTATATGGATTTTGTATTGGGAGTTGTTGGAAAGATTCTAACCAACGTAGACTGTGAACTTTTCCTTCTCGCTTGAAGATTTCTTCCAAGGAATGATGAGAGATGACCTGTTTTTCCAGCGGTGAACTGCTGAGAAAAGTGCAACCAAGCAGAACAAACCGACCATTGATCCTGTCACTATCTCAAGCGCGAGAAGCCACTTAGGTCTTGATGCTTTATGATGCTTGGCCACAATTGCAGCTGACTGGTGCTTAGGTGGGGCGCTAGGGCTTTCATGAGTTTTAACCAGCTGTGCATTACCTGCCACACGGTTTACAATTAGGTCTAGATATGTCATGAAATGAAAAAAGCTATATCTTACACACCGCATTGGGAAGCAGGCCTGTGCTTAAGATCCTTGTTTTGCATGCAGTTCCCTTGAAAGCTCGTCCTAGTGACCATAAGAAAGAGAATCTCTCAAGCAAAATTGGAGATGCCTAGAGCTCGAAAAAGGCAAAGCTAGATGATAAGAATACCTTGGGAGGTGCTCCAAACATTTGGGAATGTTTCCCACAAAGAAGTTGTATGAAAAGTCAGCTACTTTCAATAGAGAAGACTTGCACAAACCGGCATTATTTGCACTTGAATTTGAAGAAAACCTGCAGAATTGTGTAAGAAAAATCCCATTAGACAGAAGTCACAGAACAGTTTCATCTTTTTCTTCTGGAACTAAATGGGTTTACATTTTTGACGGATAGTCTGATGTAGCAAGAAGACTTCCCTGAAGCCTATTCCTGTCGATATGAAGCTCTTTAAGATACTTCAAGTCACCGAGCTCTGGAGGC